TATAATAAATACAAGTAAAACTTTAATTATACAAGTATATATATATATATATATATATGTAACATATCAAGTAAACAAGTTGATGAAATAAGTCATTTAAACAATTTTAAAATTTTATATTTATTACTTGACTTGATATCTATGGGTATATTGTTTTCATACCCATTGCTACAAAACGGGCCTTGTTGGGCTTTTAACACCGTTCATTTATTCAGTTCTTGTAGAGCTCTTTTTGCTGGGCCGAGATTATCTCACATGGATAGAGGCAGTTTGGTTATCTTGAAGGCTTTGAAGTTCAAGTCAAGTTTTGCTGACAGTCGTTGTAGTTAAATGAGAGAGAGAAATGGAAGCATAATCTTATCTTGCAGCATTGACTTGACAACTATGTTCTTCATCTCATCTCCGATTGTCAATGCGCAAAAGAAATCGCGAGTGCTCCCTCCACGTGACGTAAAATGGTTCCTCATTGGCTCTGAGACTTTCTAGTGCTCTTTGTCGCTTAAGAATTGGGGTTCTGCTTCAATATCAGGAAAAAAAAGGGTGGGTTTGGCATTGCTTCCAATTGCGTGTTACAAGTTGTTAGTTGCTCATATAAAAGCTGATACCAGGGTAGAGTTTTGCACGAGATCTTTGGAAAAAGAATGGATTTAAACTAGATATCTGCATTCGTCTTTCCTAAGTTGTTTTAAATATTCATACTCACCAAGTGTTTGATAAAATTAACATATGCTATGCTATTTCCAGTTTATGTGGCTACATGAAATGCTCACTCCTTTTTTTCTTTTTTTTTTTTGTTTTCCTTTATTTATTTATTTATTTTTTTCAGTTAGAAATATGTTTCCGGTGGTTGTGTTTCATTTTATTGCAAGGAACTGTGTTTGCTTATGATGTAGACAATGGAAAGCCAAATTGATGTTTTGGTATGTTCTTCCCATCTTGAACAACTGCTCAAGGATTTTGTCTTGAAAGAAAGTTTGAGAAGACCCTCTTGAATACAAAGATGATTGTACTTTGGAATTTGCAGATCTCATCTGGTAGAGAAGGTATTTTTTCTGGATCAACTGTGTGACATTTCACCACATCTCCCACGAAGCTCTCCTGAACAGCACATCTCCCAAGATCTGCAGTAAGGTCCAGGCGAGTATCCTACAAGTGGAAGGCAGGTCAGTACTCTGTACCAATAAGTGAGAGTGGCTGGTTACTTGCTTATAGTCAATAATTAGGAATCATTAGCCCATATATTGACAGAGTTAAGTGCACACAAATTTTGGCAATATGTATATCTGTATGCACTTTATAGCTTCATTCTAGAACTGTTCTTGATCTTGTAATTTAATCTGTTAAGTAACATGCCATGTCCCTAAGCTGTATGGTAGAGTTTATGCTTTTGCAAATATGTGAATTTGTTTTTGTCCCCAATTAACTGTAGTGATTAGGTCTAAGAGAGCTAGAAAGATATATGAGATTCATTGACTGTGCATCATGGAATAGAAACAGAGTAGGGCATGCTCCAGAGCCTATGGATTTGTACTATTGGGCCAAAGAAAACCTAGAAATTAAAATTTCTTATCAACACAGACAAACATAAAACTTTTTGTTTTCGAAAGGCAAACTTTTCCATTGTTCTATAAAGCATATATACACTTACTCCCAGGCATACCCAGGGAAATATCAAAGCCCTCAACAAACATAAAACTTTGACTAGATACAGGAGAAATATTTGTAGACAGATAAACCAGGGACTAGGGTCTTTCTTCCTTTTTTGGACAAACAAAACCTAGAGACTGAAATGTTATTAAACACAAACAGAAGAGACAAAGATTTATGCAGACTTAGAACAAATAGCATAAACAGGTAAAGAAGAAAACCAAGCAGTTTTTCTTTTTTTCTAAGCCCAACAGAACCTAGAGATTGTGTTCTATTATTGAAACATACAGTAGTGGCAAATATTTACATGGATTTAGGGAGTGAAATAGTATTAGAAGATAAAGCAGAGTCTGGTGGTTTAACTTCCAATTATCTCTGTCCTCTGCTCTAGGATAGTAGGATCTCCATGACCCTCTCTTCTGCTTCTAAGATGTGAGGCATGTCAATGAAAAGCTGGTTATGCAGCATCCTCAAAAGTTCCAGGTCAGCTTCTTTCTCCTCCATTGCTTCCACCATTTTTGCCGCTTCCTCTCTCATGTGGCTGGTTTCCGCTCTTTCCTCTGCAGCTTTTGCTTCCATCCTCAGCAGAGCCGTCTTGTTTTTCTTAAGCCTTTTGTTGAGCTGCTTTAAGCACAAAATAAAAACTAAGATTAGTTTATCTAAAAGAGTTTGGGAATACGTAGAGGATTTTGCTTAATGATGGTACCTTGATGTCCTGCCTCTGTCGCTTTTTGGCATGAGCCTGCTTTGTTCCTCGCTCCCTTGTGTCACGGTGTGGTGTTGAGTACGTAAGCTTTTCCATGTCTGCCTTCTCTTTTCCGTTTGATCTGTAACCAGTTAGGAAACAGGAAATAGGAATTTAAGAAATTTGGTTCTTATAGAGGTGATTTAGGTTCAAATAAAATTTCAGTTAGGACTGATCCGTCCAACCTTTTGCCCTTTAGATGCTTTTGTCCCTGAGAAATGATATCCACCTCCGCCCTGATCTTCTCCATTTCCAGTTTGATCTCCTCCATCTCGGCCCTCAGCTTCTTGAGACTCAGCTGTCTTCTTCTCCATGCTATTCTCTGAAATAATATTAGAAAACCACAACCATGAGGAAGTAGAAAGAAAAAGGAACCATTCTGTTGGGGGATTTGTAGTAAAGTACCTGGTACTTGTTTGTAATGGATGTCCCTGAATTCTGTTTGGCCGCTGTCTTGCTGGGAGCCATAACGGTTTCTATCTGGAATGATAATTTTGTTTCTCCAAATGAAATGAAATGCCACTTACTGTGTTATCTGGGCCTGAATTTGAAGTGGATGAAAGTTTTCCTTATATAGTGTTGGAAGAAGACACGATATTTCTAGGAAACATCGTCTG